ACACCATCCCCAGTGCTTTGTGTGCATGTAAGAGAGACCTTTTAATCCCTTCTTCCATATCAGCTCCTTCTGGGAAGACAGCAGCTCCTTCTCTGCGACATTTCATAGCTTTGATGAAGGAGCTATTCTCTGCTGATGGGAACAGGCTGACACAGAGCCCGCACAAAGCACTGAAGTGCCCAGCACTGCTGGCCAAACCTCAGGCCAGTGCTCTGAGCAGGCTATGGTTGGTGCTTGCATCACTCTTATCCATGCAAGACCCCAAATTCCAGCCCAAATTCCTCCCCAGCCTGTGAAAGCCACTCACTCCAGCCCTTGTAGGGCATTTGCAAACCGTGGGTCCCCCCAAGCCCACCAGCCTTGCAATTCCAGCTGCTTTCCACTGGAAATCCATAGCAGAACTCACCCTGCTTCCTGCAAGGCTGGGATTCCTAATCTCCCTTCTTCTTTTCTCCGTGTATAATGAGGATTACGGTTTAATTCCTGCCTCACAAGGGGGTGCTGTGGGGATGGCCAGGGTTAAGGCACTCACTCACTCCACAGCCAGGCTCTTACAAACCCTTCAGCAGAGGGGCTCGGAAAAAAACTCCCACTGCTGTTTGCAGCCTGCTCGCAGCTCCCATCAGCTCCCATTAACTGGGAGGCAATTTTCTCCCCAGTTCAGACTTAATTCCTCCTCTAACCGCTGGCCCTATCCAGGGAACAGCGGGGCAGGAACGACTATCAGCGCTGAATTGCCTTTTAAAATAGGACTGTGCACGGAGGTCTGAGGGAGTGTGAGCTGCCTGTGAGGTGCATGTGGGGTGTGTATATATGAGTTCATGTAGGAGGCTGGATCAGGAGAGCTCAGAAGTGAAGCCAAGCACGGAACCAGCTCAGGAAGTCCTTTGCACCTCTGTTCCCCCAGTGCTGGCTGCGCTGCAGACGCATTATGTGTGTTTACAGATGAAAAAGCAAAAATAAAACCGATGCCGGCTTTAAAATTCCATCGAGCGCAGCCTTCTGCACTGATTCCAAATGTTTATAAACACAGGAGTTAATGTAATCAGCACTGCAGCAAATACACACCAGGTACACGGCAGAGACAGGAGTGTCAAACGCGCTCCCAGCTTGGAGTGACAGCTCTCTGCTGTGGGCTCTGCAGCAAACAAAAGCAGCTGAAAAACCCCACCGAGGAATGCTTTAAAAAGCAATCCCTTCCCCCTTCCTCCTCCCCTCCTTCCAAGACTTTCTGGTGGTTATAACTGTAAAAATCTCAGAGAAGGTGTCCATCCCACTGAGCCTTTCAAGTGGCAGGGAGCCACCGGGAAGAGGCCACTGCTTGGGAAGACCCTGGGAGAACTCCTGGCTCCCCTGAGGATCATCCATCAGCCCAACCCCGGTTTTGTGCTCACTCCACAGCAAACAGGAGCCACTTTAGAAAGCTTTGGACAAGCCTGACTCCAGGAGCTGTTCCACCCTGGGGAAGGATGTGCATCAGCTCACCAGGGAAGATCCCATCCAGAGGAGTTGTGCCAGTGCAGAACCCTCACCAACCCCTCATCCAAAGGAGTTGTGTCCCCACCAACCCCATCCCAACCCCATCCCAACCCCATCCCAACGACCACGTTTTCCAGTGGGAAGGGTTTGGGGAGGTCCCATTCCAGCAGGTTGCTGAGGAGACGTTACCTCACATGGCAGCATCAGCAGAAAACCCCGGGGCTGGCAGAGCAGCCAAAATGCTGGGAGGACAAAACACTGTGAGCCTGTTGTTTTATTTCTTTATTTCTTTTTTTTTTTTTTCCAGCCAAATGTTGTTTCATGCTCTAATGGCAATTTTCAAGAGCAATATTGGCGTGACAACTTATGTAAGTGTGGGCCAAGTTCCTACACCACTTCCAGTGTCTGTACCTAAACCAGATTTCACAGGGGTGCACAGGAAAGGCTTTGGATCTCTGTTTTGGTGGTTACTTACCACCTAAAATGAGACTTTTACCACCCCTAAAACCCAAGAGAGGGTAAATATTGCAATATTAGAAATTATTTTCCTTGGAGAAGGTGGGATTCCTCACAGCCCAGTCCTATCTGAGGCAGCAGGTGGGTTGTTTTTTCTCTCTCTTTGTTTCTACTGGAACACATTTATAGATTCATGGAAGGGATTTCTGAGTCTCACTGTGGTTCATGTGTTCCTGCAGTAGGAACCTTGAAATCCTCTGTCTTTTCATTGTAGGCATCACTGTCAGGGCTCCTTCTCCACGCCTCTGGCTGGTATGAGTTTTAGGAACCCACTGTTGTGTGGGGTAGAACAAGGGAGTAAAAAAATGGGCTGAACCAGCTGATCTAGCAAAACAGAAGGCAGCTCCTCCAGCCCCTCAGAGGACAGGGACACAGAGACCTCCCCAAATTAAAAACAAAATACAAATGATGCAATTAAATGTGTTACATATTATGATCTTCCCTCCCCTAGAAATAACAAAAAACTGCCAAACCAAAGCATTCTGCTCCTGCCTCTCCTGCTCATGCACAAGTCCCCCTTGGGCTTCACGGAAATTTTGGACTCACAAAATGCTGCAGAACAGGGGCCCCATGGCACTGTGTAATAAATCTTAGAAGTTAACAGCCAGAACTGTGCCAAATGTGATGGGTTTTGCTTTGTGCAGGATCATGAAAATAATACATTCTGGCTCAGTAAGTCAGGCCTGATGCACCAGGGCTAATGGTCCACTGCTGCTGCTGCTGCTGCTGCTAAATGGATTTACATTTTTGTCTCACATGGTTGAGGTCTGTGATTTCAGAGGCCAAGGCCCCAAGGCTCTATCAAAACTCCCCAGATTCTTGAAGGGAAATGTGAATTTTCCCCCAGGCTGAAACGCCACCTGAAAGGCAGGAAGGTGAAAGGAGGAGTGTTGAGGTGTGGCTGCCCCACAGATCTCAGGGACATCAGCTCGGGTGCAGTGACAACAGAATAAATGGGAGGAAGGGGAAGGTAACACTGGGAATAATGTAAGCTGGAGCATTGTTATTGTGGGGAACTCCATGGTAACTCAGAGATACCTGCCCAGGGGAACAATGTCTCATTGGAGGTATCTCTTTAATGGACTTGGGAAAGGAAATAATGAGATTTTATGGATTAAAACTGAAATTAGATAGATGAATACTCCACGGGCAGGAAAACCAACCAGCAACAAGGGTGCTGGGAACTCCCCACAGCCTGCCTGTCCACAAGGATGGGGGGTTGCACTCCTAAGCTCAGGTCTGCAGCTTTAGAGAAGGGGCAGGAGGCAGAAATCATCAGTTCAGCAGCCTCAGCTCCACAGGCAGGATGTCCAAAGGAATCCCAGTGGCCCTACAGTCTGCGAATCTATTAACTAAACCTCATTACTACGTAATAACTTTTGTTATTTCGGAACAAACCTTGTATCTGGCTAATCCGCTTTGTTATAGAGCTGCCCATCCTTCCCTTGAACAGGAATTAACTTCTAAAGGAATTAAAAGGAGGAGGAGATTGCTGAAGGGGTCCTTAGGGGTATCTTTTTATAGCTGCTGGCTGCCCCCCCTTTCCCTTTCCCACTATGTGTGGTATCCTTCCCCACTGATTCCGTCCTTTTCTGCCTGCCAGGCATTGATTTGTTCCTGTGTTGTTCTAATGGAGCTTGAAATCAACATGACTTTGTTGTTGGTTGTTGTCATTGTTGTTCACATCTTTGTTTGGGGTTCAGCATCCTTGCAGAGGCCAGGGCAGCTCAGGAGCCGGCATTAGCAGGCTAAACACCTCCTTAGCGAGGGATCCACAAAGGCTGTGGCTGTGTCCACATAATAAAGGCTGCTACAAAGCGCAGCGAAACCGCTGCCCCCTCCTCCTGCGCATCAGCTCTTGTGCCAGTTCTGAATCCCCTCGCTTATCAGCGCGCACAGAGGGTGGCCAGAACAAGCTCCTTCTTTCAGCAGGCCCCAGGAAAACGCTGTGTAGCCACATCCCAGGCGTTTCGGATTGCCGCTTTAGCTTCCACGTATTTCACAACGCGCGGGGTGAAAAATATGTTCAGTCTGGGAGCCGGGGGTGTCGGGCACTGCCAGACCCGCGGTCCGGGCTCTCCGGCGTCCGAAGGGGAATTCGGGAACAGCCTCAAGTCCGCAAGCCCCGGGCGGCGAGGCGGGAGCACCTCGGCCGGCCCGCGGCGAGGAGCCCGGGGCTGCGCGGCGCGGCCGGACACGGCGAACAAAGCCCAGCTGCCGCCAGCTGCCAACATCCGGAGGGGCGGGCGGCGAGCCCGGCCACCCGTCCCGCCCTCGCCTCGCATCCCCGGGAGCCGCCGGGCGAAGGGTTAACGCTGCGCCCTCCTTCCGCCGAGCGCTGACATCACGGGCAGGCCCCGCCCGACAGTGTGTGCGTGAGTGCGAGCGCGGCCGCCGAGCCCCGCACCGGGCACCGCACCCGGGCACCGCACCCGGGCACCCCCGCCCCGCGGCCGGCCCGGCCCCGCGCCCCCCGCCCGGCCATGGAGCGCCGCGCCCGGCCCCGCACCGGCACCGCCTGAGCGCCGCCGGGGCCCCAGCGCAGGGCGGGCAGCGGGCGGGGGCTGCCGAGCCCCGCCGCCGGAGCCACGGCACCGCCGCAGCCCGCGGAGGGCTCTGCCTCGCCGCTCTTTATTTGTTTTGCCTCCCCTCTTTCTTTTTCGTCTGGGGTTTCTTTTGGTTGATTTTTTTTCCCCTCAAATTTTTTATTTTTTTTTTTTTTTAAATCGAATTTTTTACCCCCCTCCCTCCACCCCTTCCCTCGTCACTCGCCCGGGCTCTGCGGAAGGAAGCGCCCGCGCTGCCCCGCGGCCGGAGCGCCCCGCGCCCGCCCAGAGGGGCCCCGCGGATGAGAGGAGCTCCCCCCGGAGCCCTCCCGCCCTCCCGCCGCCTCTTTGTCCTCACGCACCTACGATCATATTTTTATTTTTTTATTTTTTGAAAAAAAAAAATATTTTTTTTTTTTCAAGCAGACCTGAGCATCACCGGGGGCTGGGAGGGTGGGGGGCCCCGCGGCGCTGCCAGACCGACCCCTGCCCATCGCTCTTAAGGAACTCTCATGGCTTCACGGTTGCATACAAGTTGCCGTGCATCGTGGTGGACTATCGGAGTTTGCATCCTGGCAGCCGCGCTCCTACCAGGTGAGCCGGTCCCCGGAGGGCGCTGGGCTGGAGGCAGCCCTGGAGGGGGTGTGCGGGGGGAAAAGGGGTGCGGGGAGTGCGGGGAAAGGTGGGATCGGCGTTTTGGGGTGCGCGCCCGGGTCTGGAGCAGGTGTGGGAGCATCTGTGCGATGGTGGGAGAGAGCCGGGGCCGGTTTCAGCGTCGGCTCGGCTCGGAACAACACGCTCGTTTGTTTTGGAAGCAGCTGCAGGCAGCGGGCTCCGGAGCCCTGCGAGCTGAGGCCGTTTGTTTGATTTTTGGATCGAGCAGCGTCTAGCGAGACGCGGCAGCCAGGCTTCCCCGGAAAGGCAGCCACGAGGCTGGGCACGGAGCGCAGATGTTTCGGGAGGAGAGGTGGAGGGTTTCGGCTCTCCAGCATCCCCGAAATCCCCGCTCCTCTCCGCACACACTTCCCACGGGCTCTTTTGCGGAGGGGCTGGACCGCTCCCAGCTTTCAGCGCTTCCTTTCACTGCCTTTGAGCTTGGCTGCCTGATGGCATCTTATTCATCGCTTTGGTTCCGATCCATCCCTTGGGTTCTGATCCATCTCTGGAGCGCAGGAGATGGGCAGAGATGTGCAGCGACTGCTGCCCAGCTGGTTGGAGCCACCCGAGCGGTGGCAGAGCAGTCCGTGTGTCCCTTCCCTGGGCTGGGACCTTCCCCGGGCTCCAGCCCAGCGCTGGGAAGCGGGAGGGTGACCCACTTTGGCGAGTGCCCTGCGGGGACTCATTTATTCTGCTCCAGTGCAGAACGGGTTAATGCCATCCTGGAGGGCTTTCCGGGAGTTGGAGCCGTGGAAAGGGGATCGGCAGTCTGCGTTTACAGCTTGTGAATGAACTGAGAGATGCAAACAGAGCAATGTTTTGCCTTTTTGGGGCTCGGCTGCTGGTGGCTGGGGCTGGAGCGCTGGCAGCGGGCACACGAGCGGATCCAGCCTGTGCCTGCAGCAGCGCTGGGGTCTGCGGCTGGACACAAGCTGCGGTGAAGGCAGGCTGGAATTGCGTCCGCCCCTCCGATATCGGGGCTGGGGCAGCGTCCCGGAGCAGCACCAGGCTGGCTGGGCTGTGACTCTGAGATGTGGCCGAGGTGAGCGGGGTCTGGCCCATCAGAGCAAATGGCAGGGCCCAGAGTTGCCCGGCGCTGGCAAAGACAGGGATTGATAACATCAGGACACGGGAGATCAACAGATCACAGCTGGATGGTCCGGTTAAAATGGATGAGGACAGAGATGAAATGGGAGGGAGTGGTGATCCAGAAACCAGGGAGGCTGTGAGAGGGAAAAGGTTAACTGGGCGATGAGAAAGCAGGGCTGGGTGCACCTCGGTGTTCCCAGGACAAAGGGATCTGCTGTGCATTGCAAAAAGAGGTGATGGAAGGGACAGCCTCGGGCTCCCTGCACTCCTCTGTTCTTGCAGGCAGGTGCCTGCCTGCGCTCTGGCTCCTCACAAGGAGTCTCAGAACTTTCCATGCTGTTCTTCACCCGGCCTTCCCTCCTCATCCTCCCACCGGGCAGCCCCGCGCAGGAACCCCTCCCCACAGCCAGGGGAAAGGCACCGCAGGGGCAGTAACGCTGTGGTCACCGTGTTGGCTGAACCAAAAGGACTTCGTGCTCCCCTGGGAATTGCTTTCACCAAGGAGACACGCAGTGACCCTGACACAGCCTGGCATCTCACCTTGTCCTGCCAAGAGAGACTTTTCCCCCCGCACTTCTCCTATTTTTGGCTGTTCTTAGGGCTGTGCTGCCAGCAGTCAGGCGGGCTCGTCTCCTGCCACTGCAGTAGCGTGGCACTTTGTCTTGCACTGTCCCGCTGACAGCTCTGCCAGGATAAGCCAGTGGTGCATCTCGTGGTGCCTTGCCAAGCCCGGGGTACAGCCAGCTCCGCAGTGTTCCAGGAGGATAATCCTTCCCAAACCTTGGCCCTGAGCTCTGGTGCCCTGCAGCCTGTGTGGGCGAGACTCTCGGCCCGACCAGTTTAGTGGTGGATGCACCGCAGCTGCAGGAGTGTCTGATCCTGTATATTAAATATTTATTCATTCATTTATTTTGTTCATTTGGGTGCTGTGGATGGACACAGAGCTGCAGGGAAGCAGCGAGCCTTCACCAGACCCCAGGTCTGGATGCCTTCCTGAGGCAAGCAGTTCCTCGAGTTCACAATGCATTGTGCCAAAAAATCATATATTTATATAAACATATATAAAGCTGTATTTAAGCTTTGAGTACAGAGAGGCTTTCTTAACAAGGAGAGGAAACTCAGGATCCTCTGCTACAAGTGAATTAGTAGCTGTGGACTTGTTGGAAAATGTGGTTTCATACCCAACACCCAAGAAGGAGCAGAGCAGTGCCTGCTCTCTGGAAAACCTTTCATGTCCAGCTGATCAATGCCATTTCATTCTGTTCCCACCCACCTCCCCCTTCAGATGTTAGCTTTTTTTTTCTCTCTGATAAGGAAATAAAAGTTCCGCCGCTGTAAAAGCTGTAAGGAGTCTCGTATAAAAATCTGCTTTACAAATTATCTTTAATGTGAGCAGTTCAATCGTCCAGAACGGATTCAATTCATGGCTCCTGCAGCCTTCCATGCCCATCCATTTGGAACCAGGTATCAACTCGAGCTCCATTCAAGATACTGATATCAACAGGGGTTGCTGGAAAGCCGTGGGGGAAGGGGAGGAGAGATCCCAGGCAGCTGATCTGCAGAGGTTAAGAACACTTGCAGTTAAATTTATGCTTTACAAGCCTTAACAATCTGTCTGTTTATCCCCACCGTGGAGCTCCTGCAGCTTGAGATGCAGCCACACAGAGCAGAGGCATCGTCTGTGCCTGGTCCTGCCTCTGCACATCTGGGCCTCTGTTCCCAAACGCTGGCTGCAGACAAATTCCTCTCTGCTATTGCTGGGCTACCTCCTCATCTCCCAGAGGGGCCTGGGAACGCTTTGCAAAGTGCTTTGAGATGCTCCACGGGGGAGAGCTGCAGAGGTGGCTGGAGCTGCTTTGACACAGGGCTTTTCCAGCGCTGCGCTTGAAAGGAGCATTGACTGAGCCGTGGTGACCTGCGGGGCTGAGGTCAAACTTGGCTGCAGCTGGAGGGAGGGTTCATTTTGGGGAGGTACAACAGCTCTCTGGAGTGCTGGCAAGAGCCAGAGCGTGTCACTGCAGGATCTGCTCCATCTTGTACTTCCTAGATCTGCTTTAATATCTCAAAGTAACTTCCAAAATGCAAAATAGTTGCCAGAGTCTAGTTCAGCCTTTGGGTTGAGTTCTTGGTTGTTATTTTTTTCTTCCTCAGCCACCTGCCTCCTCCCAAAACTCACAAACAGCTGCATCAGGCTATTTCAGGAGGCAAAAGTGTATCTTTGGCTGATTTTTTTCTCATTAAACTTCACTTAAACCGACCGGTCGGGTTCTACCCTGGCGTGCATTGAGGAGCTGCCGAGTGTGTCAGCGTGGGTGAGGCGCCAGGCTGGGGCAGAGGCAGCTCAGCCCACGAGCAGGAGGGTGTCTGCCCCATGGCAGAGATGCTGTTTGCTCCCTGAACCGGCAGCGTTCAAGCAGGCAGGAGCTCCCAGATTCCAGGGGCACATCCAGCAGCACAGCCAATGCTTGGGATGAGCTGGAGGCCGAGGAGATGCTGGCAAACCTGGCACATCTCTCCTTGCATCACCCCTGCTCTGGACTGCAGCTGGGCCAGCCACAAAAGCCAAGCTTAAAGGGAGGCACCACAGGGCTCCTTTGAGCAGGGCTCACACCTCGGCTGAATCATGGAAGGAACCAGAAGAGCCGGTTGTCCCTGACCTGCTTCCCAGGCCTGGCTGCCACTGGCACCTCGTGCCCTCTGCTAGTGCCACTTGGGCTGGGGACAGCCTGGGGGGACAGCAGCAAGTGGCCACCCCGAGCCAGGGGAAGGCTCTTTCCCCTGGGGAGTTACAGAGCACTGACAGCAGACAGGGATGGGGGTGAGCACTGCAGGAAAAAGGGGTTTTAATCACAGAATCCAGGATCATTTGGATTGGAAGGCACCTTAAAGATGACCTTCCAAACCCCTGCCTTGGGCAAGGACACCTTCCACCAGACTGGTTTGCTCCAAGCCAAAAATTTTTGGAAGAGCTGGAGTTGAGCTGTGCCTGAGAGCTGCAGGGGTGAGTTGGCCAGTGCTCAGGAGGACAGCCACAGTCCTCAGGGCGGCTGAGGAAGAGTTTGAGTCTTGCAACATCCTTGCCCGAGGTGCTAGTGGCTCTTGCTCAGTCCCTTTCACAGGCCAGCCAGGCTTATCAGTGCAAAAAAGCAGAAACAAATGAGGGAGGGACAAAGAAAGGTACTCCAGTCTCACAACCCCTGGAGATCTTGCTTTTTCAAATAACGTCAGATTAAATCAGGGCAGCTCTGCTGAAGGGTGAGCTGGTGCAGGGACCCAGTTTGCATTGGAGACACCTCTTTGTGTTAATTACCAGAGCTCAGGCATCCCAGCACGGAGAATTCCGAGCTCCTGAACCCCAGAGCAGCATTTCAGGTGAAGGTTTGTTTAAGGAATGAGATGTCTCATGACACATTTCCTCCTGGCTGCTGTTAAGCCATGGATGTTCTCCCAGGTGCACATTTTCCCTGGCTTCTCCCAGTGAAGGATTAGTCCAGGCTGGACTGAGGCACATCCCAGCACACACACAGGGTTTTCAAGGGGAACCCCTTGGCTCTGTAGCAGAAGAAAATGCTCAAATGCTAAAGGGCCGCTCGTAGGAGGAAGAAGAGTTGGAGAGTTTCCCCTCTGTCACATGGAGAAATGGGAAGAGAAATTTGCTGCTCTGTGCTGTGTCCCAGCCTCCACAGGCACTTGGGGACACGTGTGGAGCTCAGTTCCTGCTGCCCACTGAGTGTTTGTCCCCATCTGAGCACCGACTGCAGCTGTTCCCACAGTCCCAGGGTGCACAAACAGCAGCTCCTGGCCATGGAAAGGGGAGACAGCTTCAGTTCCATACTGTCCCCAGCTCA